TTTTCAAGCTTTTAAAATTATGTCAAATTTTTAGGACACCCTGTATATCCAAGGAATTTCTGTCGTCTTTTCCTGATTTTCAGTAGAAGTGTTCTGTTGCCATTTTCTTTAAAACTTTCTATATACCTACTCGCTTCATCCATAGAATTTTCAGTATCCTTCTGTAAAATCACATTTCTGCTGTTGTAATCTCCTCAATCTAAGAGGATGGATATCAAATGGCAATCCAGCACTCTTTTCTTTGTTTCTAATTAATTTTTTTCATTCTTCAGTACCTTGCTTATTTTTATGATTGCTTCTTTCACTCGTCCAAGGCATGGTCATATCTTGGTGTCACATTTTCCAGCCTCTGTTAAAGCACTTCCCAGATATTTAAACTTCTGCACCTGCTTGATGTTGATATCTCCAATTTAGTAACTCATATCTTCAGCTTGTTCTCTTGCTAATGATCATATTTTCTGTCGTTTTGCAGTTGATAGTTAGTCCTTTTTTCTCTCTTTCTTCTAGGAGGTCCTTTCTGCGTTGGCCTTCAACATGGTATCATCTGCACATTTTTACATTGTTAATGTTACACCCACATTTATTAAATCCTGGTAGAGTCTCCATTTTTCTTAGGATAGCATTGAAACTCAGTCAGGAAAAATGAGTTTAATATTCACTATAGAATCTCCTTTTTCTAATGATATATTTAATTACATGGAATTCAAAATGTATCTTCTACTCTATTTTTTTCTTTTTTTAATTTTTCTACATCATGAAAAATTTCTTTCAGTTAATTACGAACATCAGCAATTCAGGTAAATGGAGTTGTGAACACCTGGGATCTAACTGTTCACAAATGGAAAATTCTCAATTACCCATTGTGTCATTTTCAAGGTGGATTTTTCTAAGCCAATGCAAAAGATCATTTTTTTTTTTTTCTTTACTTGAGAGGAACACATTATTAGCCTTCAGAAATTCTGCCCCCCCTTATTTTGGCATTATCATTTGTATTCAAATGGGCCTCTATGAACAATTGTTGTCACTCCTTTCTAAAGAGAAATACATTTACAGAATCCAATGTATGAATTGTCCAATATAATATGCACATAACAAAAATTGCAGATGTTAGCAAAAGCAACATTCATTTTAAAAAAGATTTTCTAAAGAAGAAAAGAAGAATGTCTGAAATTTACAATTCTCAGTAAATGATTAAAATTAAAATTTTTCAAAATTTTTATTTCTGCTATTAGGGGTCATATAAGAAAATCCATTTGTATTTAATATTACAGCATTATGAAATCTGTTTAAGTAAGAGTACTTTATAAACATTACTTTACCAGAATACCTCAACTTCACATTCTGACCATGTGACCCATTTTGAAGCTCAACACTGTCAATTTGTCAGGGGAGACAATCCCAGTGTACAGTAACATTGGGAAATGCCTGAAAATCATATAGCTGGTTGACCCAAGCCTTAGGAGTGAAAATAGGTAGCTGGAAGTGTTTGGGGAGCCATTAATGGTTGGTGTTAGTACAAAGTCACAAGTCATCTTTGGATTTTGATTTGTTTCTTACGACTTATTAACCTTTTTAAATCAGTGAGACTTGCCCACTCCATATTAGTATTTAATGAATCTGCCAATAGAAAATAGTGTTCCTGCTTTCCTTCCCAAAGCTAATGTACTAATGATGAAATGACACAGATTCAGACACATACAGAATTGGATCCATTATAGTGAAAGTATTAATAAACATTATATTAACAAGGCCAGTAATTTTCAACCAAGGTCCATGTTACATTACTGGGGATCATCACAAAAAAATAGCAAATTAAGGGTTAACAGTAATATTTTAGTGGTCCATACAGCAATTTCACTTTGGAACAGTTGTTACAACTGAGAATTGGGATTTTTACAATAATGTATGATATATTAAAATAGTAAAAATAGAAAAAACAACTCTAAAACTTGCAGAAAATGAGATCAAGTGATGTAAGTTAATGTCTCCTTTAACCCACTAGATGTTTCTATTGTAAAAGTTGAATAAAAACTGAGAAGGATATATAAAGAAATCATATATCAGGTCATCCCATAATTTCTGTCTGAATTTTGAATAAAGAAAACAAGTGACCAAATGTCACACTTAATTACAGATTCAATCAAAAATGTATTTTCCCTGATTATCTATGACTTCCTTCCATCTATTAACAAGCTTACTAATTCCATTACTGTAAAATTCTTTTGGCTTTGATTCAAAGAACTCACAAATGTCAGTTTTAACCTCTTCCTGTGTTACAAAAGCTGTTTCTTCCAAATGATTCTGTAAGCTACGAAACAAATGGTAGTCTGAAGGAGCAAGATCGGAAGAATAAGGTGGATGAGGAATTTTCTCCCAACCAAGTTCTTCGATCTTTTGTGACGTGATTCTTGCTGTGTTGAGTTGCGCATCGTCCTGATGAAATATCACCTCTTTTCGATTCACTAGAGCAGTTTTTTTTTTCCTCAAAGCTTGGTTCAAATGCTCTAATTGCTGACAGTATATCTGAGCATTAATTGTTGCATTAGGTGCTAAGAATTCAAAGTGGATTATTCTTTGGCGATCCCACCAGATTGAAAGAAGAACCTTTTGCCCATGAAGTTCCCTTCTCGGCTGTGGCTGGGGTCCTTCCCTTTACCAAGCCACTGTCTCGATGCTTAACATTTTCGATAAAAGATTCATTTTTCGTCGCCAGTCTGAAGTCTATCCAAAAAAGGTGAAACAAGTTGGCGTAAATGGAGAGAAGAGCAGATGTCAACTTTCGGTTTGAGGTTGTTTCCAGACAATTAATGAGGCACCCATTTTCCAAGTTTAGGAACTTTTTCAAGTTGTTGAAGATGACGATGAACAGTTGTATGGTTTGAACTGAGAACCACTGCCAATTTCTCAACTGATAAAGCAGGATTTTCTTTAAGGACTGCTTCAAGAAGCTTTTCATCAAACTCAACTGGACGTCTGGTTCAATCTTCATCTTCAAGGGTGAAATGTCCACCTCTGAATTTTGCAAACCATCTTCTGCAAGTTCTTTCATTTACACATTCCTCTCCATAAACTGAGTGAATGTTTCTAGCTGCTTCAGCTGCTGAGTTTCCTTTCTTGAACTCATAAAGCATTATGTGCCTCAAATGATTCTTGGGTATTTCCTGGAAATATGGTTATTAGTCTTGTGAGGCTGGGCCCTATGCATAAATGTGAAGAGGTCATTTAAGTGTTCTATATGACATCCCAAATGAATTAATAGAAGACTGCTTTCCCTCCTGAGGCCAATGTACTGATAACGAGCGGTTATGCTGATGACATAGGTATTCAGAGTTGGGATAAGAATGAAAAATCAACATCCAGATTTCCATGAAACTTTTCCAAAACAGAAACAGTGATTTGGGATTGGAATGAAAGCAATAATGGCACCTACCCTGAACCCATCTTAAAAATTCAGTATGTAAAATTAGTAAATATATAACACTTAAAATATCTTGGTATATGAATCAGTTATAACAAATTTAGTATAGGAGATAAGGAAACTGAACATAAAATAGGCTGTGCTATGGGTAATTTCACTCAACACCACAAGTGAAAATCCTATATTGCATTTCTCTTCTTATCTGAGTCAGTATGCACCGAAGACTGGGAAAGATCCACTTAGACTGTGTGAGTAGGCAGATGACTCTTGGTACAACTTCTACCAGATCAGACCTAACAGCTCAGCTCTTCCATTTGACTTTACTTCTTACTGAGTGTCTCCTCAACTCAGCATCATGGGACACAAATGGACAACATCAGAGGGATGACCTGTCTGCTGCCAAGGGCGAACCAGAACTAACTTCCTCAACCCTAACTGTGACTGTTAATAGAGATCATCATCATCATCATTATAATAGCCATGATTATATGACTGATGCATGACCAGGATTAACCTGGCATTAAACAAAGTGGATTCTGCCTGACAGGGTATCTTGGTTTACCTCTCCACATATGCCTGTCACTAGCATCAGTTAGAAGAAATCATCAGTGTCTGCTGTTTGGCCTTAAAAGCTCTCATTTATTTGTTTATTCTTTTGTTCTTCTTTTGTCAAGTGGGTGCTGTTTGGAAGATCCAACTTCAAAGGTCCCATCTGCCAGCCATAAAATAGAAAAACACTTGATATAGAGATAAAATCTAACACCTTCCACCTTGATAGTTATAGTTTTATGACTATGACTACTTACATTATTATTCAGACTGTTATTCTCATCTTCACTACCATATTCACAACATTTTGGCCATTGTACACTTCATCCTTGTCAGGTGATTCGAATTTCAAACTGAACCCTTTATTCCATCCACCGGGGTAAATTGTTCTAGTTTCATATGCCATGCCATTCCCAGATATTACAGTTATTTCCCTCATGGACTCATGAACTGGTGGAGAAAGATGTTGGTTAGATCCAGTGACTAGACCCAAAGAGTTGTGAGTTCAATACCAGGCCACAGCAGTGGTGAACCAAAAACTTGGAGAGTTGAGTTAAAAGGGAAACAGCTGAGACATCTGTAAGAGGCATGGCACATGGAATTAGAACAATCTATCCTTTCAAATTCCAAGAAGAAGGCTGGAGTGTACAATGGATAAAATGTTGTGAATAGGGCAATGAAGATGAGGATAACAGTTCGAATAATGTAATTAATGCAAGTAATCATAATACCTCATCTCAGAGATATAGACAGATATATAGAGAGACATAGACATAAAGGCCGAAGTGTATAATGGCCGAAACATTGTGAATATGGCAATGAAGATGAGGATAACAGTCCAAATAATGTAAATAATGCAAGTAATCATAATACCTCATCTCAGAGATATAGACAGATATTGAACCGATGACTGCTTCCTTGTTTGCTGAAAAGATATTGTCCATTCAGTTCATAACATTAATTCCCAGAAAATCCAGGAGTTAAAAATATGGGATTGCTCAGAATTAAAAAAAAAAAAATACATTGGTCATACCTTTGGTCATTTGTTAGTGCACCAATAACACCAAGTACAAGTGGCCATCCATGAACAAGTGTATCTCCATTACTGTGAAGGATTTGAAAAACAGATTCCACTTGTTTCTGTCGAATATCTGGATGGGAAATGGTTGACAGTTCTTGGAGGGGAGTCAGAATGGCTGATTGAAGTTTCTGTTGAAAGACAAAAGAAAAATTGAACATTTAAAGAAAGAAAAAAAAAAAAGTAGTACAGTTAAAAAAAAAAAAAAAAAAAAAAAAAAAGGTAGGCATGCAACCAAACGTTTCCTTACTTGGGAATTCCAAACACTGATTGGATATGTCACTTCTAGCTTCAACGCAGTCATCCCCCACGGGTTGCTTCTTGGACCAACCCACTTCCTACTTTACATAAATGATCTGCCTAAGTGTATACTCCAATCATTTGTGAATATCTATGTGGATGATACAATGACAAACAAATGCATCTCAAAATTATAGACAACCAGAGATTGGCAACTGATCTCTATTATGACCTAGCTCTAACAGCTCAGTGGGGGGAAAAACTGACTTGAAAACCAAACCAGCTACATTCCATCATCACTGATTGGATCATGAATTTGTGCCAATTGTGATGAATGGGTGTTCTCTGATGGAGGCACCACACCTTAAGAGCCCCTATTAGGGCTTAAACTCAACGAAGATCTCATGTGAAATTCATACATACAATACATTGCTAAAGATGCTGGAAAAATGGTCAGTTCTCTCTATTGCTCCAGTAAGTAGTGAATTCCTCCTGCTATCCTCTACATTAACAAGAGCCAGATCAGACCAAAAATGGAGTACTGCTACCATATATGGGCAGAAGCTGCACAGTCTTTACTTTCCAGTTTCGATAGTGTCCAAAAGAGTTAACCATTATCTTCCCCACATATCACTATTAACTGTAACTCTTAATCTGTAAACCTTCTATCTTGAGTGGCTCTCGAGCCTTGTACAGGATAAAAAAAAAAAAAAAAAAACAACACCACAAACAAACTAATCTGAAAAGAAAAACTTCTAAAAAGTCAGCGAAATAGACATAACTTTCTGTTATTTACATTATGTATGCTCAGATTATTATCTTCATCCTTGTTGTCGTTATCACAATGTTTTGGTAGTTGTGCCCTCTGGTCTTCACCAGGTGCTTGATGATACGGGTAACCTTATGGTATTTCTGAACCCTTTATTCAATCTACAAGCATAGACTGTTCCTGTTCCACTGGACACGTCTAAGTAGATCTCATATCATTCTTTATTTATTACATCTCAGTTATTACTCACTCTGTTTCTATGGAGGCCAAGTACACACTACCAAGCCCAAGAATTGAACTCTTGTTATAGGATCTTTCTCATAATAATAATGGACTATTCCATACTTAATAAATACTGCACCTCAGGAGTAGGCAAGGAGTCAGTAGTTCAAGTCGAGTCAAAAGTCGAGTCAGAGGCAGTCCGAAACAGAGTCGCATTCTGACAATTACTGCAAGACATTGGAATAGTGATACTGGTCGAGACTACATTGTTCTCCTTACTAAACCTGATTGTTCATACTAACGCTTCTACTTCTCTGTATATATTCCTGTTTGTAATATATCTGTGTTATTCCATACCTGTGTTCGAGTTCTTCTTTATTGGTTCTACCTTGGACTATCACCGTCGTACAAGGAACAGGACCATAACAACTCTCAATTACTATATCATGAAATTCACAATGCTTTAATTCACTGGACAATTGTCCCAAAAGGTTGGAGGGCACAATGGTTAAAACACTAAACCACAAAGATGAGGACAATACTCTGTCTGTAAATAATGATAAGTATTCAACCAAAATTTATAAGCCAAGGATTGGTTTGGTTTGTTTTGCTTTACGGAATGTCAATTACAATGGGTTATTTAATCCTGGCAAGATTTTTAGGGTACGTTCATATGAATAGAATATGTATTCTTTGTAAGAAATCAATTTGTAGATCAGGTTTCATTGATATATTTTTGTAAAGAGGGTTATTGTTGATAGTCAAATGTATTACCAGTAATACTTTTTTTTAAAAAATGTATTGCTGGTATTTTTACTATAAAAACCTATTTTTACACTGTCATAATGTTTTGACTTCAGTCTGGGGGTTAACTATATACCCATAGCTGGGACCCTAACAAGTTCTACCATCCCGGGTCGGGGTGAACACCAGCAATTAAGAGGTGGTTCCACACTCCTCAAAACCACCTGATCAGAGGCCTTGCTGTTGGACATAGTTTATCGTCATATCTAGGATGCCTAAGCCAAGGAGATATTTAAAGGGATAGATTTTTTCTCAATAAAAATTATTACACAATTATAAAATCAATTTATTTATGAAAGTAATCAATCCTCCTATATGACAGTGAATGCTGGACAATCACCTGACAGATGAAGAAGTAACTTGAACTAACTGAAATGTGGTTCCACATAAAGATGTGAACAACATCAAAGTTTTAGAGAAAATAAAAACCAAAAGGACACATACTTAATATCAGAAAGAGGGCATATAATGAGGAAAAGGGGCTTGGAAAATTTGATACTCACAGGACAGATTGATTTGATTGTTGGGTTTAAAGGCAATGTAACCTTTGATGGGTCATTTTATGGCAAATAAGATTTGATTGTGCATCATGGCTTGCGTATTAAATTTAATTTGTTAATAATACTTAAGTATCATTTAATTGAAAACAATAGCCTTACAGGACATACTGAAAGCAAGAGAAAATCAATGCATAACCTATGTAGAGAGCTTGAGTAAATAGATGGCTGAAGAAGGTTGAGGAGAGATAACAAAAGGATAAAATTTATTAAGTGTTACAAAGGACAGGAAATTGTAGAGAGCCTTGATTGTCCATGTCCTAAAGGGACACAATATATGGGGAGGAGAAGAATTGGTTATCCTTTAATTAATAACCATAGATGCTTTTGTAACAGAATGTGTAGATGTATTTGGTGGAGGGGGTGATCTTGTAGAAATTAAAAAGCACGCAAAGTGATAAAATGATGTACACGTCTGGGAATAAGCCAAACCGCACCTCGAATGGAATCTAAATCTGCGACAGAATAAAAACACAAAAAAAAACATCTTTATAGGATTTACTCAGATGAGAGAAAAAAATGTAAGTAAATGAATTTTCATTTTGACGAAAAACCAAAAGCCAACACCCACCCACAACTGTCAAGAAAAAAAATCAATCTATTGCCTCAGAAACAAAATATTTTCAAATTTAATTCAAGCTGAATTTCTTTGCCAGAGATAAAGAAAAAAAAATGGCTGAACATTCTCAGTGCAAAGAATTTTGTAGCAACTACAGAATTAAAAACCCTAAAAAATACAGATTGTGAAACCAACACTGAAAAAAGAAAATTTCCTTTTTGCAAAGTTTTCCATTGACAAATCAATTGTCCTTTACATCAGAAAAAAATACAATTGCCAGAAAATATAAATATACAAAGGTAGCCATATTTTTTTTTCCTTCAATGGCAAAGTTAGAAAACAAAATTAGGATGAATTGCTTCTGTTTCTACATAGAGATGTACAGACTGAGATAAACAGATTACACACACACACACACACACACATATATATGAGACGGAGAGAGAGAGAGAGCACTCACTGAGAAAAATTAAAACCATTTGTGGGAGAAGGGTATGAACAGAGGGAGAGAGTGATGCAGAGTCATTGGATCAGACAGAGAAACATATAAACAGAGAAAGGCATATGAAGAGTAAGAGAGTGAGGCATAGAGAGTGAGAGCAGCATGAAAGAGAAAGACATACACACACACACATATATATATATATATATATATATATGTGTGTGTGTGTGTGGAGAGAGAGAAGCATATGGAGAGAGAAATATGAGCAATGAGAGAGAGAAGTGTGAACACTGAAAGAAAGAGGAGGTATGAACACTGAGAGAAATAGATGTATGAACAGAGAGGGAAAGAGGGGGGTATGAACACGGACAGAAAGATGTATGAACAGTGATAGAGAGAGAGGTATGAACAGTGACATTATGTGTGTGTGTGTGTGTATATATATATATATATATATAAACTGAGAGAGAGATAAACAATCAGTGAACGAGAGATGAAGAATGAAAGACATAGAAGCTGGTGAAAATAATAATAAAACCCTCACAAACTAATAGTTTATAAATTTCTAATATTGATGAAAGAAAAATGTATGGTGAATTAGATTTTAAAATCAGTTTTTTAAGCTGGGTGCTATTATGATTAGAAGCAATTTTTTTAAAAATAACACCTTCTGACGTTGGCAATAAATATATGTAACTGAATTTTTTTTGAAAGCAAACATGAAATGATTAATCATTAATAATTAAAAAGCCTGAATACACCTGTTTTTCACTTAGGTCAAAACTGTCAATGGCTTCAATGTCGGATTTCAACCAAGCAATGATTTACAGAAAAAATGAAGCCATTCCTTTCAAACTGCCTTTCTTGCTTATAGACACATTTTCCATAGTATTGCAAGCTAGAAATTGTTGTAGGTCAGTCCAGAACCCTTCATTAGTGACTTTGGTTTTGTTTATAAGGTTATGTAGGAAAGATAACAACAGTTTGCCCCAAATATTAACAGGGATCGTGAAAACATCTTTAGAAAGGAAATTAATTTTGACATCTGCTTCTCCACTTCTGTCTATCCAGGGCCACTGTCTCGAATATTGAGTAAAGCATGTTGATGGGAGCAAGATTGCTCATGTTTGTCTTTACACTTCAGCCATAAATTTCCAACATTCTATTTTCCAGTCTCATGCTGGTTAGTCAGGAGGACATTTTCTATCCTGTCCTCATACATTCTGACAACATGAGCAACCCATCAAAGGTGCGATGATGTAAGTACCTCCAATCTTGCGCTTGGTGAATAGGTACACATTGGAGATTTAGTTTTCAAGGCTGTACCAACCAAAAGAGTTGTTAGGAGGACCGCTTTGTATAAAGTTTTATACTCTTCTCATTCCAGAGATGATGACAATGTTTATTGAGCACACAGTGTGTGTGTGTGTGTGTGTGCATATATATATATATATATATATATATATATGTGTGTGTGTGTATATGTACGTATGAAGAAATATAGTCTTATGATGTGCTATATTTATGGAGTAAAATGC